CAAAACCTTAAAAGCCACTTTGACAAGATGCTCATGAACCTTTAGTAAGAATAGTTATAACTTAATTGATTTTTCTGGATATTTAATTTATGTACTTAAATGTATTTGACCATTTTTATTTTATTATTGAGCCAGGCTACTGGGATATGAGCACACTTACCATGGGACGTTTGCACTGATTGGAGCAGCATCTTTTTTAGGCGGAGTGGTGCGCATGACCATCAGCTTAACTGTCATCCTGATAGAGTCAACCAATGAGATCAGTTATGGCCTGCCCATAATGATTACGCTCATGGTACTACATGAATTCTTTTCTCTTCTTATGTATTATATTGTATTGTACTGTATTTACGAATATTTGTACAGGGTAGCCCAGTTTAGCAAATAGCTAGTTTAAATGGGGTCCTGTGAAACAGTAACTTCCACCCATCCTACCCCAGGGTAGGACATCCATCACACAGCAATTACTCCCATGTGTGGGAAATTAACATCTCTTACCCGTAACCCTGCAGGAGATGGGACCTCCATTTATTCATCCCTATCCGAGAAGACTAGAATATCTATCCATTTCTTGATAGAAAGGTAGCAAATTCTCCTCAGTTATTTTTAGTATTATTTTCTATCAACTCTTACCTTCATTAGGGCAAAAAATAACTTTTTATTTGGTTGAGTGTCAATGCATTGAGCACCTCTAGTGTGCTTGTTGGGGACACTGTAATTAAACATTTATGAACAAGTTGTTGCTGAGGATTTAATCTTGGATTCCTCCATATAATTTATTTCAAGCACAACACTCACCTCAAGGCCTGGTTTTTTGAAAGGCAGTTTATGGAATGGATGATTCAGATAATCCAGGATTAGCTGCATCTTGTGGGCACACAACATTTTGACCACTGTGATGACAAATATTGTTGTTGATAAAGAGTAGAGACAATGCTAAACCACTGTTCATTTATTGTTTTTTAGCACAATATTGAAGTCAAACAATTTTATTCTTTCGATGGATAACACCTTGTGTGACACATTAACATGAGCAGCAGTAATTGTCTGTACTCTTATCAACAATGGGAAATTGGCCAATCCGATTTCAACATTGCTCTCAATTGTGGCAAAGAATTGAATTGTGTAGCTGCTAGGCAATAAAACTAAACCATCATTTTTGGCTTTACCCTTGGTTAGTTTAATTAACTGCTTTGAACAACCAGGCCCAGAACAAATTGTAACCTCATATGGTCCTTGATAGAGATCCTTTCAGTTCCAGTTTTCTGAAGGCCAAATAAATTTGCAGAAAGAGTTCTCCCCCAAGTTTTCATCATTCAAACAGATCTCAAACTTCATTACAAACCTGTAACAGATTTTCATTTCTGTTCAGATATTATAATAATTGGAGATTTCATTTTATGATTGATCTATAAATATATATATATATTTTTTTTTATTCCAGAAACAAACAGAAAAACAAGAGATTCCCTCAAACAATGGCTGGAAGTTTCAAACATCTGATAATGAGTTCAGATTTCATTTTGGTGACTCAGGAAGTTAGAAAGTCAGGTGGATTAATTGACTTTGATTCTTGAAGTAGTTAGCGAGTAATTCGTTCAAAGGATGCAGCAGGCTTGGGAAAAAATGAAGGGCAGGCATGGTACACAAAGAGAACTTAACACCAGCTTGTCAGAGACAGTTAGCTTGGAATATAAGTGTACTTTTGGCTTAATGAAGAACTTCACAGTTAATTTGAGATAATTTGGTTAAAGCAATTGAAGAGGGCTAATGCTTGAAACATCAACTTTTGAAACTCTTTAGGTTAGCCAATTAACACAAGCAACTCAGTTGATAAAAGCAAATTATCATGTAAAATAACATGAGATTGACAAATGTAAAATTTACTATGAACAGCCTCATAGAGGTCACTATTTTTATTTGTTACCCTGTGTCCTGTAAATTTAGTTCAGGATCTAATTGGCCTCGAAAAGAAATTGTTTGCATGTAGGTTAACAATTTCGCTGAGGTTGCAAAACTTTCCACCTTGAGTTAGGGGAAATAGGAGTTGAATATTATAGTATTTTCAAGTGAAAATTTTTTTAAACAAGCTGTTGGAATATGGCTAATGTAGGGAGCTCCTTCTACCCTGAAGGGTAGTTCAAATGTGTCATCAAGTAGTAGAAACCAAGTACCATTGTATCACATTTTCTGCAATCTAGTCGGCAATGCTAGTTGCCATCTACTCCATGAGAGATATTGAGTTTGGGAAGAAAATAAAATAGCATTAAATGTACATGTTAGCCTGTCTTTATGTTAAGTTTTGAACACCTTATATTATTTGGTCACGATTTCTACAACCAAAGCAGTGAAGTACTATACAAATTCCTCACATAGGTTAAATCGCAGTACTTTTGGCGTTAAGTTGTTCTGCAAACAATTAGTTTGCCGACATCAGAAGTGAATGAGGTTTTGCTAATGAAATCACTTCACCATTTGTACTAAGTCAACAAGACATCTGAAGAGAAGTTAGCAAAATTCCCCAAGAAATTTGCAAAATGACCTAAGACATTGGCAAAGCTGTTGTTAGGAAAACAACTTGTAGGTGAAACCTGAAGTTATCCATAGTACAATGAATGATCAATGAAAAACTGCAGCTATTTCTTAGCAATGCATTGCTATGAATTAAAGCCCTCCTATCCAAATTAATATATTGTATCCTAGGTATTACGTTTGAAAGTCATGAAAATTGTTAGTAAGCCACAGATGCGC